TCCTTCAAACAGGCTCCAGATTTCCACTGCAGAAATCTAAGTCAGGGTCACATCTAGGATTAAAAGCAGCAGCTCTCAAGTTCTGTTTGTGTAGAGATCAGTGCAGGCAGCAGCCTGGGAGCTGATGCAAGTGGAGGATTTCTCTTGCAGGCGTTGGAGACCTGGGAGAATTCTGTCATCAGTTCAAGCACAGCAGAACGCTGCAGCCCTTAGTGCTGAGGATCTCAGATGCTTTAGTTAATGGAGATGATTTATCTCTACACCTGCCCTGACAGCTCTGGTAGGCAGTGGGGACAGGCATTTGGAGGTGTCATTGCTTGTTTTCCCTCACGTGTCACTGGAAACGTTTCCTGCTCGCAGCACAGCACGGGTGGATCCTTTCGGACTGTGCCCCTCTGCTGTCCATCAAACACCATCAAATCCTCTCCCTCCTGCCCGAAAATCCCCTGCTCTCACTAATGGAGCTTCAGCACAGGAATTCAGCCATTCCAGCCTCTCCTCCTTTGGAGCTCTGAGCCATAAACACTCCAGCAGGTTCCGCAGGGTTTGGGATCCAGGATCCAGCCACGGGAATGTGGGACAGGCTGGCACAACCCCCGTGCCCGTGTGGGGGAATGAGGAGGGCATGGAGCCTGTCCCTGTGCCACATCCCTGTCCCTGTGCCACATCCCTGTCCCTGTGCCACATCCCTGTGGGCACATCCCTGTCCCTGTGGCACATCCCTCTCTCTCCAGGCACATCCCTGTTCCTGTGGGCACATCCCTGTTCCTGTGGCACATCCCTGTCCCTGTGGGCACATCCCTGTCCCTGTGGCACGTCCCTGTCCCTGTGGGCACATCCCTGTCCCTGTGGGTACATCCTGTCCCTGTGCCACATCCCTGTCCCTGTGCCACATCCCTGTTCCTGTGCCACATCCCTGTGGCACATCCCTGTTCCTGTACCACATCCCTGTCCCTGTGCCACATCCCTGTCCCTGTGGCACATCCCTGTCCCTGTGCCACATCCCTCTCTCTCCGGGCACACCCGGGTCCCTCCCAGCCCATGACCCGGTGCCACACGTGCCCAGCGCTGCCCTCCAGCCCGGTCCTGCCGGGTCCCGGGGGCTGCGGGCGCTGCGAGCGGCCGTGACCCGCACGGATCCCACAGCGAACCGAGCCCTGCTGCCGGGCTGGGCCGGGCTCGCAGCTCTGCCGGGGGTTTCTTTGCCCCCTCGGAGCTGCCCCAGCCCGGCTGAGCCCCGGGCAGCCCGGGGGTTTCAGGCACAAGCCCCGCTCAGCGCTGGCGGACCCCGGCCCCGCTCCCCCCGGCACGCCCGGGCCGCGCTCCTGCTCCTCCCGCCCCGGCTCGGCTCGCAGGGAAAACGGGTGGGAGAGCCTGGAGCCAGGGATGGACAGATGCATTAACCCCCAGTGAAATGGCTGCGGACCAAGTGAAGGAGATCTGCAGCTCGGGGTTATCTGCTGCTTTCCCATTCCGAACCGACGGAGCGTGGCCAGCTCTATTCATCAGCCGAGCCCTGCAAAGGCAGAATTTCCCTGCCTTGATGCTGTCCCTCCTCAAAGAGACTCCCAAAAAAGGCAGGCCCCATGCATCTTTCATGGGGCACTAACTAACTGGCTCTGCTATCTATAATTTAATCCGGGCTGCAGAGGCTGAGCAGGGAGGGCTTTCGAGGGGAGATTTCTCTGCCTGCCTTGAGCCCTGAAAGCTGCAGGCAGGGAGGGCGCAGGGAGCGGGCAGGGAGCGGGCAGTGCCAGCCCAGGCCGCTCTCCCAGCCCCACCCGGGCTCCCCCAGCTGCCCCCAGGCCGGGAGCAGGACGGGGCTGGTGAAAGCACATTTCCACTCCACAGCACAGATGTTCCCAGCCCGTGCCAAGAGAGCGGGAGAGGCTCAAAGAAAGCAAACATTGTCCCAGGGCAGAGCACAGCGAGCAGGGAGGAAGGTTTCTCTCTTTTTTTTTTTTTTTTTTTTTTGCTGTTATTATTATCACGATGATTTGGCAGCGTGGAAATGGATTTCTCTCGGGCCTGAGTCAGTTCAGCTCAGATCTATTCAGGATTTTATCCTGAAATCCAAGTGCCTCCCTGGCACAGGAGCTCATGCCCATGCCCAGTGCTGTCTTGTCCTGTGTTTCCCTAATCCAACCCAAACCCTCCGTGTTTATCCAGCCCGGCTGTCTGGTGTCCCAGGCAGTTCATGCCATAACAACAAGGAATTTTCCATCATAGGGACCAGGAATTTCCATCCTTTCCTTGTGTTTGACGCTCAGATTTTGCCCACCCCACATTTGCTCTGAAGCTGAAGCAGGAAATGGCAGCTTGAGAGGCAGGAGCTGGAGAGAGCCGGGAGATCCCAAAAAAGGCATTTTAGGGAGAAAGTGCTGATGCAACCCAGCGGTGCCGGATGCTGCAGCATTGATAAATATTTGATTTAGCCTGAATAGAAAGGCATCACATTCCGAATGACCTGAAAAAGAGGGAAGATGACAAATACAGTGCCACTGAAAGGCAGATTCACATGGTGAGCATTCCTGAGGCTCACTCCGGTGTGCAAACTGCCCTAAATTGGAATGAACTGGAGTTACCTGTGGGAAAGGCACCTCTGCCTGCTCCAGCCGGGGCTGTGCACTGACAGCCATGGGATGCCTCTGCCTGTGCTTGGAAAGGCCCTGACGCAGTTTTCCATCCTTGGCTGATGTGTGCTGCCAGGATTCCTGCACTGGCATCCCAGGGGCAGCTGGGGGGCTGACAGGATCCCGGGGAGAATGCTTTCACCACCCAGTACTTCCCAGTCCTGGCAGGTTTGGGGTTTTTGACATGGCTGAGTTTTGCTCTCTCATTTTAGAACCATTTCCCTTGGTTTATCAGCTCTCCCTTCCCTTCCACCCCCCTCTAACAAACGCCAGGTTCTGATCCAATTCTCAGTTCAGCTCCTGCCTCCGGGCTCTCCGCTCCCCTGGCTTTTCTTCAGGCCTTTCCTCACTTTCCTTAAGGAGCTGCTTTGTGTTTCTGGGTTCAGCACGAGCCGTGCCCGGGCTCCCTCTCCCCTCCCTGCACTCAGCTCCGGCTCGCGTGGGATGCTCGGGGCTGGAGTGCGCAGCCAAAACCGGCCAGAGAGAAACAACAAGTGCTTTTCTCCTCCGTGAGCCGGGAGCTGCTCTAGATAAACCCATTCTTCCCACGCTGCATGAGGCACAACCTGCCCTTGTTAGAGACCGCAGCCAGGAAAAGCCCCACATCCTCTCAGGAGCGCTCCGGCGGATCCCGGCTTCCATCTCCCGGGGTCTGCAGCGGGGTTTGCAGCGGGTGGTGCTGGAGCAGGGCCAGGAGCCTGCCAGGCGGCCCAGGGAACACTCTGTATACGGATTGTCATCTTCAGAAGGGGCAGGGAGCCTGATATTAAGGATGTTTTTCCCAAAGGAGCATCTTAGCCATTGGCTGATGGATTTCACAGCTGTGGGCAGGAGGATGCTGAGAAATGAACTTTGGCGCTGGATGCAGAGCCATGGCAGGAGTCAAACCTCTGAGCTCGAGGGGATTGTAGCTGGAATTTCAGCTCAGCCCAGACTTTCCTCGAGTGCCTGGGCCAGCGAGAGCCCCACAGTGCCAGCAGCTTTCCTCAGGCGGGCTGGGAGCCGGGAGCCCTCACGGTGCTGGAGGGGCTCTGCGGGGCCAGGGGCTGCCCTGAGACCCTGCAGTGCATCCCCCGGGCACAGCAGGGCCGGGACCACCCCCGGCAGGGCTGTTCCATCGCCATTCCCATCCCCTGGAGGACAGGCTGCGTGCCCGGGGTGGTGCCAGGGTGGGAGCTGCAGTCCCTGGCTGGCAGGGGCGGCGGCTGACCCCAGCCAGGCTCTCAGGGGACATCCCGTGCCAGTCAGGGCTGGCTGTGGGCTGGAGGAAACTTCGGCCGGGCTCAGTCCTCTCTCCTCTCCGGATAAGCAGCTCCTGAGCCCGGGGCCACTCGCGGTGGAGCCGTTCCTGGGGACCCACGAGCGGCTGATCCCGCTCCATCTGCTCAGCATCGGCAGCACGGGGTGGATTTAGCCTGGGATCACTCCAGGCGCAGCACACGGCCCCGTGCCCGATCCGTGCCCGCGGCACCGCTGGCTGACAGCCTGGCATTCATTCCCCTGGGATGTCACCATCCTGTCACCGCCCCCGGGCTCCCAGCCCGGCCCAGGGACACCTGCCCTGCGGGGAGGGGGGACCGTGACACCAGCAGCACCTCCTGAGCCTTCCTCTGCCGTCCTGCTCCACCTCCCCGACCCCAGACAGACACCCGGCTGTGGTGCCAAACTGCGCGGGGTGGGCAGGAGGCAGCTAAAGGTTCTGGACTCTGGCAAATCTGGGTTGGAAACGCCCGTTTCGTGTCTCTGTGCGAAGGAACTGTCATGTGCCCAAAGCTCAGTGTGGAGGGGCAGAGGTGACCGTGGCGCCACTGTTCCAGCTCAGAGCGGCAGGGAGGCAGAACTGGGGCATCCCAGTGCCGCTGGGACAGCCCGAGGCGATGCTGAGGGCAGCCGGGCAGCGCCGTGGAGCAGGGATGGCACTGCCAGGAAGCCGCGGGGCCGCGGAGGGGACAGAGGATGCGGGGGGCTGGGTCAGCCGGGCGGTGCCGCGGTACCGGGGTGACGCTGGGGACACCGGGGCAGGCGGGGCACGGCCGCCCGTGCCGCCGGCGGCGCCTCCCCGCTCCCCCGCCTCCTCCTCCCGTCTCCCTCTCCCGAGCCAGCCCGGCCGGGGGAGGAGCCGGCCGCGCACAAAACCTCCCGCCCCGGCCCCTCCGGGCCCCGCTCCGGCACCGGCACCGGCGGCGCCCAGCGCCCGCCCGGGGCCATGCGCGCCGCGGCGGGGCCGGGGCCGGCGGGGCCGGGGCAGGGCGGCGGCCGCCCGCGGCCATGAGCGCGGCGGGGCCGGGCGGCGGCCCCGGGCGGCGGCGGCGGGCGGGGGGCGGCGGGGCGAGCCCGGCGGGGCGGCCGCGGGCCGGGGCCGGGGCCGGGCGGCGGCGGCGGGCGCTGCGCTCGCTGGGCAGCCTGGCCGGGCGGCTGCTCCGCACCTGGGCGCGCCTGGCCGGGGGGCGCGGGGGCCGCCGCGCCGCCCCCGAGGATGACGAGGGCGGGTTCCGGGGAGGGTCGCGGCGGCGGCTCGGCGGGGCGGCTCCGGTGGCGGCGGGGGGCGCCGCGGGGAGCGATGCGGGAGCGGGCGGCGGGGAGCGGCCGCCGGGCGCGCAGGGGCTGCGGAACCACGGCAACACCTGCTTCATGAACGCCGTGGTGCAGTGCCTGAGCAACACGGCGCCGCTGGCCGAGCGCCTGGCGCTGGGCCGGTACCGCGCCCGCGGTGCCCGCGCCGAGGTCACGCAGCGGCTGGCGGCCCTGGTCCGGGCGCTCTGGACCCGCCAGTACACCCCGCAGCTCTCCGCGGAGTTCAAGGTACCGAGCGGCCCCCGCGCGGCTCCACTCACCCCACTCACAGCTCCCTCTGGCCCCCCGAACCCACTGACACCCTTCCCTGCTCCCCGAACCCACTGACACCCTTCCCAGCCCCTCAAACCCACTGACACCCGTCCCAGCCCCCCGAACCCACTGACACCCGTCCCAGCCTCTCGAACCCACTGACACCCGTCCCAACCCCCCCCGAACCCACTGACAGCTTCCCAGCCCCCCGAACCCACTGACACCCGTCCCAGCTCCCCGAACCCACTGACACCCGTCCCAGCCCCCCCCGAACCCACTGACAGCTTCCCAGCCCCCCCCGAAATCATTGACACCCCTTCCAGCTCACATCACCTGCTCCCCTGCCTCATCCTCCCCGTGGACCCTGCCCTGCTAGACACCCCCAGCCCTGCTGCTGTCGCCTCCCTCTGGCCTGTCACCTCCCCGCAGTCCCCCGAGCTCCCGCGGGTGGCTGAGCTCCCAGCCCTGGCCGTGCCACAGAGCCCTGAGGGCGAGCTGGTGCTGGCTGTGATCACGGCTAAGGCAGGACGTTGTCCCAGGAGCCAAATTCGGTGGCCTCAGGCTCTGTCCCTGAGCGTGTGCCACACCTCTGCCAGGCGCAGGCCAGCGTGCCGTGCCGGGGAACAGCGCGTCAGGGGCATCACAGCACGTCCAGCCTGGCATGGATCTCCCCACGCTCAGGGACACGTGTGCCCTGCCCGAGTGGCATTTCCTCGGTGCTGCCAATAAACCGCTGCTGCCACTGAACTTTGCAAAGCGCCCGGGGGAGCTCCCGGGAAGCCGAGCCCTGCCCTGGGATGGGCTACACCGAGTTGATGCCATCCGAGTGCTGGGGGCAGGGGGAACCTGAGGGTCCCCATGGCTGCGCTTGCCCCTCTGGACTTCATTGCGGTTTTCCCTGTGTGCCCTCCTGGCCGCTGGAAGCTGGGACACCACAGAGCCTCTGGCTCAGCTGAGTGCTCGGTGTCCCCGCCGCCCTGCTGGCCCGGGGTGGCGTGATGGCCCTGCAGAGGCAGGACGAGGGCAGAGGCTGTTGCAGGGATGGTTTTGGGGTGGGTGCTGAGCAAGAACCCTTTCATCAGCGCCTGCCACACCCGTGTCTTGCAGAACATCGTCTCCAAGCACAGCTCGCAGTTCCGGGGCAACGCTCAGCACGACGCGCTGGAATTCCTGCTCTGGCTGCTGGACCGAATGCACGAGGACCTGGGCGCCGCCTCCCCCGCCCAGCAGAGCCGCGGCCCCACGCAGGTGGGTGCCCCCGGCCGGGGGGAGGCTTTCGGGCCAGCTCTGGGACCAGGGACGCCGGGATGTGGTGCCGGGGGTGGATGGAGCTGGGCCCCGCCCCGGTGGGGATGGGGATGCTGCGGCTCAGTCGGTGCGAGGCTGAGAGGGTGGTGGGAGCCGAGTGCTGCGGGGCTGGGCAGGGCTGGAGTGCTGGGAGAGTGGGGGTGTGGGCAGGAGCCCGTCCCGCTGAGCATCCCGGCTCTGGGGGGCATCCTGGTCCTTGGTGAGGAGGAGATGCAGCTCCCCCGCCCCGCGTCCTTCCCTGCCTCCAGCTAAGCCCGCTGTAATTACAGCTCGGCGGCTTTGCTGCTGGCAAAATGAGTAATTAAGTCTTCCTCAATCCATATGTGCTCAGGCATTGCCCTGGCCCTGGCCCTGGTCCTCCCTGCCTCCTCCTGCCTCCTCCTGCCTCCTCCATCCCCGCTCCTTCCCTGCCGGCTGCTGCCCGCCGGGCGCCGCCTGTTGCAGGAGATGGATTTGAGCTGTTGCCGTTTGACCTGTGAGCTCAACTCAGCAGCGTGCTGTCCCCACTCTGGGGGTGACATCCCGCCCAGCAGGGAGCTGTCCCCACTCTGGGGGTGACACCCAGCCCAGCACTGAGCTGTCCCCACTCTGGGGGTGACATCCAGCCCAGCAGGGAGCTGTCCCTGTTTTGGGGTGACACCCAGCCCAGCAGGGAGCTGTCCCTGTTTTGGGGTGACACCCAGCCCAGCAGGGAGCTGTCCTGCTTTGGGGTGACACCCAGCCCAGCAGGGAGCTGTCCCTGCTTTGGGGTGACACCCAGCCCAGCAGGGAGCTGTCCCTGCTTTGGGGTGACTCCCATCCTGGGCACAGGGAGCCTGGGAGCAGCTCCCCACCCTGTGCCCAGTTTGGGGGTGCCGTGGCTGTGCCGTGGGTGGGAGTCCTGGGCAGACCCTGGCCAGCCTCCAGCACAGCTCTGTCCCACAGGGAGAGCTCGGCTGTGGTGCCCATCCCTGGAGAGGCTGTGCCGCCTGCCCAGGGCCCTGCAGCCATCCCTGCACTGAGCTGAGCTGGCTCAGCCCTGCCACCTTTCCCGGGTGCCATTTGGATGCCTCAGACTTCTTGGGAGAGCCCGGCAGCTCCCGTTAAACGTCAGGTGCCCACGTGTGCCATGAGCTGTGCTGTGTCACCGGCTGTGCCACCTGGAGCTGGTGCCACGGCAATGGCCAAGGACCTCCCAGGCACTGGAGGGGACCCTTTGTGTCCCTCAGCACCCGTGGTTTTGCCTGGCATCCCTCAGTTTTTGTCCCTTTTGGTGTTGCCACCCAAGTGTCACCCACGTGCCCCTGACCTTGGGGAGGGATGCCTGGCAGGGATGTGACCCTCAGTAAGTGCTGGGCAGTGTCTGGCATCAGGAGGGACCACAGTGGGGACTAGGCTTGGCTGCCTGGAGGGCTGGAGGCACCTCTTGGATTTCTGGGGAATTCTGGGGGCCCTGTAGGGCACAGACACCATCCAGGTCCCCTCTCAGCCACACCAGATGGACCCCAGTGCCAGGCAGACCGTCAGGACACGTCAGGCTCAGCAGGACCTGGTGCCAGCAGATGGCATTGAGGAAAATCCACCTCTCGGCCAAAATCCTCAGTGATTTTCAATCTTACTCATCAAGACACCAGAAAGTCACCGTCTTACCCCAAAACAGCCCAGGAGTTTTACTGACGCTGCCTGGAGGGCAGTGCCAGGCATGCAGGTGCCAGGGTCTCTTTGGCATCACCTTCATCCTCATGCCATAGGGACACCAAAGCCGGGCTTGGTTCACTAGGACGTGTCCCCGACTCCCTGAGGGACACGTCCTTCACCCTGTCACCTCACTCACCACTTGTCTCTTGCCCCTGCAGCCTGGCAAGGACGGGAGCAGCGGTGCCAGCAGGTCTCCCCCAGGCACCCAGCACCCCCGGGGGCAGAGCTTCGTGCAGAGCCACTTCCAGGCCCAGTACAGGTCAGTGGGAGCACAGATCCTGCCCACGGGGGGCTTTGCTCTTCTGCGAGCCCTGGGTGGGCACTGTGAGCCCAGGGAAGGGATGGAACAGCAAGGATCTCCATCCATCCATCATCCATCCATCCACCCATCCATCCATCATCCATCCATTCACCCATCCATCATCCATCCATCTATCCATCCATGTATCATCCATCCATCCATCCATGTATCATCCATCCATCCATCCATCCATCCATCCATCCATCATCCATCCATCCATCCATCATCCATCCATCATCCATCCATCCATCCATCCATCCATCCATCCATCCATGTATCATCCATCCATTCACCCATCCATCCATCCTTCCATCATCCATCCATCATCCATCCATCCATTCACCCATCCATCCATCTATCCATCCATGTATCATCCATCCATCCATCCATCCATCCATCCATCCATCCATCCATCCATCATTTATCCATGTATCATCCATCCATTCACCCATCCATCCATCCATCCATGCATCATCCATCTCATCCATCCATCCATCCATCCATCCATCCATCCATCATCCATCCATCCATCCATCCATCCATTCATCCATCCATCCATCCATCCATCCATCCATCCATCCATCCATCCATCATCCATCCATCCATCCATCCATCCATCCATCCATCCATCCATCCCAGCCATGGGAGCTCCTTGCCCTACAAGCAGTTGAAAATGTCCAAGGCCAGGCTGGACAGGGACAGTGACCTGCTCCGGTGGCAGTGTCCCTGCCCACAGCAATGTCCCTGCCCACGTTGGTGTCCCAGCCCATGGCAGTGTCCCTGCCCACGTTGGTGTCCCTGCCCACGTTGATGTCCCTGCCCACAGTGCCCTCTGAAGGTCCCTGACACCCCAGACCACACTGCTCCTGCCACAGCACTCAGGGTTGTCCCAGCACCCCAGCACGAGGGTGCCCCACTGTGGGACACCCCACATGTTCCTCTGGCTGGGACTCGTGGGATGCTCAGGCCACCCTGTCCCCAAGGCACGGCCCTGCGGGCAGCAGGGGACACATCTGGGTCACAAGCCCTTCCTCCTCTCTCAATTAATCCCTCGTCCTATATATGAAAAAAGGCGCTTTAATTATCCCTGTTCCACGTGCCAGAGCCGTCTGTGCGCTGAAGGATTTATTAATTTGTGTGGCTGTTTCCCAGCGATCTCAGTGGCTATTCAAGGTGACAAATAATGAGGACTCAGGACTTTGCTTTGGATTTTCATTTACTTTTTCCCTTTTTGTTTAAGAAAAAAGGCAGGGGGAAAAAATCCACCCCCTAAAAAAAAAAAACAAAAACAAACAAACAATCAAACAAAAAACCCAAAACACAAGCAAAATCAAAAAAATCCTTAAAAAGCAGAATTTAGGTGAATCAGCAGTAGGTGGCTGTTGGTACCAGGGATGATGCATTTGGGATGTGGTACCTGGGATGGTGGATTTGAGGTGTGGTACCTGGGATGACGGATTTGGGGTGTGGTACCTGGGATGATGGATTTGGAGCGGGGTATGTGGGATGACAGATTTGGGCTGTGGTACCTGGGATAACGGATTTGGGGTGTGGTGTCTGGGATGACGGATTTGGGATGTGGTACCTGGGAGAATGGATTTGGGCTGTGGTACCTGGGATGACGGATTTGGGCTGTGGTACCTGGGATGACGGATTTGGGATGTGGTACCTGGGATGACGGATTTGGGGTGTGGTAGCTGTGGTGATGGATTTGGGATGTGGTAGCTGGGATCAGCCCCAGGGTGGGCTCTCGGCGGGCCGTGCCCGCTCTGCTGACCCTGCCCATCCATTTGCCAGGTCCTCCCTGACGTGCCCTCACTGCCTGAAGCAGAGCAACACCTTCGACCCCTTCCTGTGCATCTCCCTGCCCATCCCGCTGCGCCAGACCAGGTGAGCCCACGCCCAGCCGGCGGGACGGCAATTTGAAATTTTTGGGGTAGACAAGGAAGGCGAGAGGCGGCGGTGGCGGTGGGTGTTCGCCGCGCTGAGCTGTGTCCCCGCGCTGTCCCCAGGGCTCTGAACGTCACGCTGGTGCTGCAGTGCGAGCGCTGGCGCTTCGTGCGGGTGGGGCTGGCCGTGCCGCTGCTGGGCACCGTGGCCGACCTGCGGGAGATGGTGGCGCGGCACGGCCGCGTCCCCGCCGAGCAGGTACCGGGGCGGGCACCGGGGCGGGCACCGGGGCGCGGGGCCGGCTGCGCGGTGCTGAGCGCCCGCGGCGGTCCCGCAGGTGATCCTGGCCGAGGTGTCCCCGCGGGGCCTCCTGCGCTCGCTGTCCGACCCCGAGGCGCTGCGGGCGGCCGGAGAGGCCGCGCCCGTCTACGCCTTCCAACCACCGCCCGCCCGCCGCGCAGGTACGGCCGCACCGGGACTGGCGGGAGGGAGTGGATCCCCCACTGGGATTGGTCAGAGAGAGTGGATCCCTCGCTGGGATTGGTGGGAGGGAGTGGATCCCTCACTGGGACTGGTGGGAGGGAGTGGATCCCTCACTGGGATTGGTGGGAAGGAGTGGATCCCTCGCAGGGATTGGTGGGAAGGAGTGGATCCCTTGCTGGGACTGGTGGGAGGGAGTGGATCCCTCACTGGGATTCGTGGGAGGGAGTGGATCCCTCGCTGGGATTGGTGGGGCAGCGGGTCCTGGTCAGAGGCAGCTGCACCCACGGGCAGTGATGGGAACCGCGGTGCTGGGCAGGGCTGTGGCGCTAATTAACGCAGCGCTAACGAGCCCCCCATTTCCCGGCCCCAGGGTGTCCCCGCAGCCTCCCCACGTCCCCCGCGGTGCCACGGCCGGAGGGGCCGCGGCTGCTGCCCAGCGCCGCCCGCTCCTCCGAGTGCCTGCACCGCGCGCCCGGCGGCCGCATCCTGCTGCTGCTCTGCAACACGGCGGGCACGGGCCCGCAGCTCGCCAGGTACTGCCCCCGTGTGCCGCCTCCTGCCACCCTGCCACCTGCCTGCCACCTGTGTGCCGCCTCCTGCCACCCTGCCACCTGCCTGTCACCTGTGTGCCACTAACCTGCCACCCTGCCACCCTGCCACCTGCCTGTCACCTGTGTGCCGCCTCCTGCCACCCTGCCACCCTGCCACCTGCCTGCCACTAACCTGTCACCCTGCCACCCTGCCACCCTGCCACCCTGCCACCTGCCTGCCACCAACCTGTCACCCTGCCACCTGCCTGTCACATGTGTGCCACCTGCCTGCCACCAACCTGTCACCCTGCCACCTGCCTGCCACCTACCTGCCACCTGCCTGCCACCAACCTGTCACCCTGCCACCCTGCCACTTGTCTGCCACCTGCCTGTTACCTGTGTGCCACCTGCCTGTTACCTGTGTGCCACCTGCCTGTCACCTGTGTGCCGCCTCCTGCCACCCTGTCACCCTGCCACCTGCCTGTCACCTGTGTGCCACCTGCCTGCCACCAACCCGTCACCCTGCCACCTGCCTGCCACCCTGCCGCCCCCCTGCCACCCTGTCCTACCCACTCCCCGCCCCTGTGACACCCAGCCACGTGTCCCTGCCGCCTGTGCCCAGGTTCGGGCCGCCGCTGGTGCTGCGGGAGGAGCGCGGCGTCTCCTGGGAGCAGCTGCAGCAGAACATCCTGGCCCAGCTCAGGGGGGTCCTGCGGGGAGAGGTCCGGCCACAGGTGAGCCCGGGGAACGACCCTGTGCCCTGAAAGCCGTCAGATTTTGGGGGCTGTCTTTGCCCCGTGTCCCAAAGCCTGGCTTGGCCAGGTGCTGCTGCTGGGCAGGGGATCCCTGTCCCCTGGTGACCCCACAGCCCCCTCTCCCCTCACAGGGCACGGGGGCCCTTTTCCGGATCCGCCTGGCCGGGGGCTCGGCCCCCTGCACCTACCTGTCCCCTCAGGATCCCCGCCCTCTCTGCCACCCTGCCATCGACAGGTAAGGGGCTGCAGGGACAGAACTGTCCCCAGGACGTCCCCTCAACCCCTGGGGGTGGCCAGTGGCATCACCATGAGTAGCACAGCGTCCCTGTGCACGGCTGTCTTGTCACCATGGGTGGCCAGCCATGGGTGACACCTTGGGTAGCCACAGTGGTGGTCACTGCTGCCCCAGCACTGGGTGCCCGGCCCAGCGGTCCCACGGAGGGAGGTGGTGGCTGTCCCTGCCTGCCACCACGGGCTGGCAAGGAGGTGTCCCCATGGGGCCAGGGGCTCTGGGGACATCTCACCCTGTCCTCCTCAGGGCCCTGCAGCTGTGCGGGGCCGGGGGCCCTCCCCACGTGAGGCTGACGGCGGAGTGGGACACGAGCACCAAAGAGCGGTGAGTCCCCGCGCCCGGGCTGGGGGGACACCCCGGCACTCGGGGCACCCTCGCTGGTGACGCGTCCCCCCAGGCTGTTCGGGAGCATCCGGGAGGAGGCGGTGCAGGACGCGGAGAGCGTGCGGCAGCAGCAGCAGGCGCACGGGCAGCAGCACAGCTGCACCCTGGACGAGTGCTTCCAGCTCTACACCAAGGAGGAGCAGGTACGGGCACCCCCGGGCAGACCCACGCCCTGCCCACCCCGGCACAGGGGTGCTGGAACCGGCTGTGGAGGCGGCGGGGGTGACAGAGAGGGAGGTGGCCATGACGTGGTGTCCCCAGCTGGCCCCGGACGATGCCTGGCGCTGCCCGCACTGCAAGGTGCCCCAGCAGGGCACGGTGAAGCTCAGCCTGTGGACGCTGCCCGACATCCTCATCATCCACCTGAAGCGCTTCCGGCAGGTGGCCGAGCAGCGGCACAAGCTGACCACGCTGGTGCGGTTCCCGCTGCGGGGGCTGGACATGGCCCCGCACGTGGCGCAGCGGGCACAGCCCGGGGGACAGCTCCGGGGCCGCTGGGCGCCCTGGCAGCCCCCCCTGCGCCTGCCCCCGGCCTGCCCCCGCGACCACCTCTACGACCTGTACGCCGTCTGCAACCACCACGGCAGCATGCAGGGCGGCCACTACACCGGTGAGCGGGACACCGGGGACGGGGGGGTGCCACGGGGGTGCCACGGGGCAGCCAGAGGGGAGCCGGGGTGAGGGGACATTCAGGATGGTGTTGCAGCCGCCCCAGGGCAGGCAGGGCACCGGGATGTGTCCCCCAGCACCATCCGCTCCCCCAGTGTGTCCCTGCACCGTGGGGCTCCTGTTCACCCCTGCAGCCCGGGGTTTGGGCATCCCGGGACAGAGCCCCGGACCCCGCTCACCCCGCGCCCCCTCGCCCGCAGCCTTCTGCTGCAACGCCCTGGACGGGCGCTGGTACAGCTACGACGACAGCCGTGTGGAGGGGGTGCGGGAGGCCGAGGTGAGCACCCGCAGCGCCTACATCCTGTTCTACCAGCGCCGCCGCGCCGCCGGCTCCGGCACGGGTGAGCCCCCGACCCCTGTCCCGCACACAGCCCTGCGTGTGCCCCCTGCACACGTCTGCGCACAGAGCTGCCGCACCACCCCACGCGTGTGCGGGCCCGTCCCACCCCGGCCCACGCCCGCCGCTCCCCGCAGGGCACTGGGTGTTCCGCCTGGCCGCCGCCGAGCCCCGCACCGAGCCCGACCCCTCCGGCTCCGCCGGCGCCGCGGAGAACGGTGAGGCTCGGGATGCTCCATCCGCTCAGGATGCTCAGGATGCTCCCCCCGCGCCCCCCGCCCGCCCTGACCGCGCTTTCCCCGCAGGCGGGTTCGAGGCGCGGCCCCCGGTGCGGGGTCTGCAGGGGCTGCCCGCTCGCAGCCTCAGCGTCCGGACCGCACCCCCGGGACACGGCGAGCCGGGCCCCCCCCGCGCCCCCCGACGGCTCCGCCGGGCCGCCAGCGCCGAGGGGACCCCGCGCCGGCCGCCCCCGGGCCCCGGCAGCCCCGAGGGGCCGCGGGGGGACGCGGGTGTCCCCCCGGACCGCTGCCCCCCCGGCCCCTCGGCGCTGGGGCGGTCGCGGAGCTCGGCCAGCCTCCCCCCCCGGCCCGAGGGGGGGCTGCGCAGGTCCGCCTCGCTGGGCAGGGGGCCGGCCCTGGCCGCCCGGGCTGCCCCCGGGGCCGCCCCGCAGCGCGGCCCGCAGCTCCCCGGACCCCTGCGTCCCGCGGCCGTGCCCGAGTCCAGCTTCTGAGCCACGGCGGGGGCACCGCCCCGGCGGCTCTGCAGCCGGGCCCGAGCGCGTCGGGGAGCCCCCCACGCCGGGCGTCCCACCGCAAGGGTGCCTGAACCAGGGATCCCAAACCGGGAACATCCCGGCCGAGGGCGTCCCGACCTGGGGGCTCCCGGCCCAGGCACTTCCGAGCCCAGGGAAAACCGAGCCAGGCTATCCTGACCCAGGGGCTCCCAAATGGAATCCTGCCATGGGGGCTCCTGCCTGACCCAGGGCACCCCAGACCCTGATCCAGAAGCATTCCAAACCGGGACCGTCCCTAGCCGGGCTTTCAGACCCGGGCTCACCCCAAACTGGGCTCATCCCGAAGTTGTGGATCTGAACCCGGGAGTCTCCCAGTGCGGGGCCGTCCCAAACAGGGCAGGCGGGTGCGTGGTCCCCAGCTCTGCAGCACCAGAGTATTTATTGTACCAGGAGAGTTTTATTCAGAGACGCTTTTTGTTTTCTAAAAGGCGACTATTTCGGGGTGGGGCGTCCCCCACACCTCGGTCTATGCAATCCCCGATTCCTGCAGCCAGCTTTTGTACGGGGCTCTCCCCCACCGCCGGCGGTTTCTATTAAAGACACGTGAAACAAGCCCCGTGTCCATCCCAGGGGAAAAGGGCTCCGTGTCCCTTGGGGGGGTTCTGCTCCTGCAGTGGGGATCAGCCCGGGATCAGGGGTCAGTCCTGGCTGGATCCTGCCGTGTGGGGTGGCTGTTTCGGGGGGAGGTGGACCCTGCCCCATCCCATGGCACCCGACCCATAAGGTTCCCGATAAAACACCAAACCACCGTTTTATCACCCAAACGCTCTCCACCTCCCATTCCTCCCCCCAAGGCCGGGGCAGGAAGGAAAGGCCAGCGCCACCGGGAAGTTCTCAGCGAGTGGCACACGGATTTATTGGATTTATTGATTGCTTTGGGGTGCTGGTGCCCCCCCGGTGCCCACCTGGGGCGGGGGGCACGGTGCGAGCGGGGCGGGGGCGAAGCGCTGCCATTTCCATCTCCCTCTCACCCCGGCTGGGCGGGAATGGCTCCAGATAAAACAAATCTCTCTATAATTTCTCTCTCTCTATACAAATATAGAATATATATATATCTCTGCCGATATATATATACAGCTCTTCTCTCTCTGGAAAGGATAAAAGGTTAATTTGTCTGTGCATGCACGACCAAAGCCACCAAGCCCCGGGGACAGCGGGTGCCGAGGGCCGTGCACCTCCCCTGCCAGCACCCCGAGAGCCGGGGGGCACATCCTGCATCCCCAGGTTATTGCTGGTCAGGTCCCATCCTGCTCCCAAACAAGCAGAGGGGGAAGAAGCCAAAGAAAGGAAATCCCACTGCAAAGCGCCAGCGAGCTCCTCGTCACCTGGCCAGCACCCAGTGGCACCCGCCTGGGGGCACGGAGGACGTGGTGGCACCGCCCCAGGGTCGTGGGTGCTGCGGGGCAGGGGGGCAGGCACCCGGTTCGAAGGCAAAGTCTCGATAAGGCGAACAAAAATGAACTAAAGAACAGCGGCCGCCCCCAAACCGGGCGCTTTGCCACCCAAAAGGGGCCCGTGGCCCTCGGGGCCGGTGGCCGGTGCTGGCCCCCGCGTGCCGCACGGATCAGCTTGGGGACAGGGACACTGTCATAGGGCTGTGCTCTCCGATTCCTCCTCCTCCTCCTCCTCCTGCCGCGGGGTCAGGCTCGGCCCCGAGAGTCTCTGAGCTGCCTCGGGCGGGTCCCGGCACAGGGCGGCGTCCGGGGACACTTGGAGGGAGGGGACCTCAAAACGGAGCAGACCTGCGGGAGGGCACGGTGATGGGGACACCCAGCGGGGCTGGCACCGCGCTACTGCCACCACCAGGGTGTCACCACCGCCCTCTGCTCTGTGCACCCCACCCGAGCCAGGGCGGTGACACCAGCTGTCCCCACACGCTGGCCGTGTCCCTCGAAGCTCTGTGCCACCGAGCGCGGGTGACACCGCTGTCCCCTCTCGCAGGGTGAGGCTGCACGTGTGAAGTGACAGGGTCAGCACAGCCACAGGCAGGCGGTGTCACCGTGTCCCTTACTGAGAGCAGAGCAACCCCCTCCGACAGAAGAAGCACCTCTGCCACTCCTGCCCAGCTCAGGGACATTTCGCAGGGACATTTCTCAGGGATATTTCTCAGGGACATTGCCCAGGGATGTTGCCCAGGGATATTTCTCAGGGGCATTTATCAGGGATATTTCTCAGGGATATTGCCCAGGGATGTTGCCCAGGGATATTTCTCAGGGATATTTCTCAGGGACATTGCCCAGGGATGATGCCCAGGGATATTTCTCAGGGACATTACCCAGGAATATTGCCCAGGGATATTTCTCAGGGATATTTCTCAGGGACATTGCCCAGGGATGTTGCCCAGGGATGTTTCTCAGGGATGTTGCTCAGGATGTGGCTCAGGATCCTGTCCCACCTTGGCACAGGGGAGCTGCACCTGAGCCGGAGGTGATGCCAGGTGTGATGTCAGGGCTGCATCCATGCCAGGGTGCCCTGCCAGCCCCACAGCAATGCGTTGGCAGAGCCACACCGGTGCCAGTGCCACCCAAAGGCAGGAGGCAGCCCCTGGGGACACGGTGACCAGCCCCTCGCTGCCACTCAGGCTGTCCCACCCTCACAGGCAGGACGGGCACGCAGGGACAGAGCCCTGAGTCCTGCCAGATCCTGCAGAAGGGACACTGGGACACCGCCCCCACCTCTGTGCCCTCCGTGGCCCCCAGTGCCACCTGCACTCCCAAAGCTTCCCCCTGGCTGTCCCCCCACAGCAGCACAGGGACCCCAGGGGGACACGGCACCAACAGAGCCCAGGGCAGGGCGGGCAGAGCAGCAGGACCAGCAGCACAGCTCCCGGGGATGTCACGTTCCTGGTGACCCTGCCACCTCCCAGGGGACACAGCTTCTCGATGCATTGTCACCTCCCTGGGCTCCTCGCCACCGTCCTGGGGACAGTTCCACTTTTCCAGGGGCATCACCACCCTCCTGAGTACATGGCCACCCTCAGGGGGACGCTGGCACCCTCCTGGAAAGGCACCACCTCGCTGGGGACAGTTCTACCTTGCCTGGGCTATTGTCACCTTCCTGGGGACATCACCGCCTCCCTGGGGACAGCTCTGCCTTTCCAGGGACATTGTCACCTTCCCGGGGACATCACCACCCTCCCGGGGACATCACCGCCTTCCCGGGGACAGCTCTGCCTTTCCAGGGACATCACCGCCTTCCCGGGGACAGCTCTGCCTTCCCGGGCACAGTTTTGCCTTTCGGGGGACCGCTCCAGCTCTGCGGGGAGGGTGCCACCTTCCTGGGGCCATCAGCACCTTGCAGGGCGCACTGCCGCCTTCTCGGGGCCGGGGACTCCGCCACCCCCCCGGGAGCCGCCCCCGCCGGGGTTACCTGTGAGCGCGCCGTCCCCGGGGCCCGCGGCGTCCGGGCGGGGCGGCTCCGGGGGCTGGGGGGGCGCGGGGGCGGCCGGGGGCGGCTGCGGCGGGGGGGGCAGCGCGGGGCGCGGCCGCGCTTTGGGGGCGGCCCGGGCGCGGGGGGCGGCGGCGGCGGCGGCGGGGGACGGCAGCGGCGGGGGCGGCCCGGCCGCGGGGGCGGCTCCGGGGGGGCCGTACGGGGACGGGGTGCTGGGGGGCGTCGGGGACAGGCTGGCCGGGGATGGCTGCCCCTCCCGGGGCGGGATGGGCGCCAGCTTCCTGGGCCCTGCGGGACAGAGACAGCGACAGCGGGGTCAGCGCCGGGCCGCCCGCGGGACCCCCCCGCCCCGGCCCGCTCCTACCTCTGCGCAGCGAGTGCGGGCTCTGCTCGGCCGCGGGGGGCGGCTCCGGGGGCTTCACCGTGCTGGGGCGGGCACGGGGCACGGAACGGGCACGGGGAGACAGCCCGCGGGCAGCGGGAGAGGAAAGGAAAGGAAAGGAAAGGAAAGGAAAGGAAAGGAAAGGAAAGGAAAGGAAAGGAAAGGAAAGGAAAGGAAAGGAAGGAAAGGAAAGGAAAGGAAAAGGAAAGGAAAGGAAAGGAAGGAAAGGAAAGGAAAGGAAAGGAAAGGAAAGGAAAGGAAAGGAAAGAAGGAAAGGAAAGGAAAGGAAAGGAAAGGAAAGGAAAGGAAAGGAAAGGAAAGGAAAGGAAAGGAAAGGAAAGGAAAGGAAAGGAAAGGAAAGAAGGAAAGGAAAGGAAAGGAAAGGAAAGGAAAGGAAAGGAAAGGAAAGGAAAGGAAGGAAAGGAAAGGAAAGGAAAGGAAAGGAAAGGAAAGGAAGGAAAGGAAAGGAAAGGAAAGGAAAGGAAAGGAAAGGAAAGGAAAGGAAAAGGAAAGGAAAGGAAAGGAAAGGAAAGGAAAGGAAAGGAAAGGAAAGGAAAGAAAGGAAAGGAAAGGAAAGGAAAGGAAAGGAAAGGAAAGGAAAGGAAAGGAAAGGAAAGGAAAGGAAAGGAAAGGAAGGAAAGGAAAGGAAAGGAAAGGAAAGGAAAAGGAAAGGAAAGGAAAGGAAAGGAAAGGAAAGGAAAGGAAAGGAAAGGAAAGGAAAGGAAAGGAAAGGAAAGGAAAGGAAAGGAAAGGTTTCAAGCATATAAAGAATTTTAAAAAAAGTTAAATTTGAAATTAAATTAAAAATATAATTAAAACAATGAAAAACAAAAATTAAACAGTTAAAGAATTAGAATAAAAAAAAATACAAGATAATTAAATAATAAAGTTAAATTTAAAAATAACAAAGAAAACTCAAAAAAACCAATTTAAAATGTGATTAGAAAAAAAAAAGGAAAAAACCAAAAATCAAACAGCAGGAAAACGTAAAAGATAACCCATAACAACAAAAAAGAAAATTGAAAATAAACAGTGGAAGAAGGAGAAGAAAAAGAAGAAGACAAAGACGAAGAAGACGAAGACGAAGAAGATGGATATGATGAAGAAGACGAAGAAGACGAAGAAGACGAAGAGAAGAGGGAGAGCCGTGAGCTCCTGCCCGCACCCAGTGCTCCGCACTGCTGTTCCCCTCCCGCCGCCCCGGCGTTCCTCAGCCCCCGGCGCTTGTGTCCCCCCCGGCCCCGGGGTCCCCCCGGCCGGCGGTGACGCCCCAGCCCCCCGGGGACAGAGCCAGGGGTTCGGGGGGGACAGAGCCAGGGGTTCGGGGGGACAGAGCCAGGGGAACAGAGCCAGGGGTTCGGGGGGGACAGAGCCTGGGGGACAAGGGGGACAGAGCCAGGGGGACAAGGGGGACAGAGCCAGGGGTTCGGGGGGCACAGAGCACCCCGGCCCGGCTCCGCCTCCCTTTTGGGGCAGAAAAGTGCGATTTAGGGGCTTTCTCCACATGAGCTGGGCAGAATAAAGTCGGACTCGGAGCCTGGGCAGACAAATGTCCCAGGGGTGCTGGGCTCCCTGGGGCCTTTCTCTGCACCTTCCTGCAGCACCCAAACTCCACTAGAGCCCAGTGACACCCGGGCAAGGAGCCCTCAGACTTCCTGAAGGCGGCACGGTTCTCATGGGACTGGCAGGATGGGGAGGTGGTGGTGGCTGTGGGAGTGCAGAGCATCGTCTCCCGCTGCCCCGGGACTCTGCCCCTCTCCCGGGGATGCAGAGCATCCTCTCCCGCTGCCCCGGGACCCTGCCCCTCTCCCGGGGGTGCAGAGCATCCTCTCCCGGGGGTGCAGAGCATCCTCTCCCGCTGCCCCGGGACTCTGCCCCTCTCCTGCTGCGCTTGTTTCCCGCTGGCCTCTCTCGCGGGGAGGATGCCCGGCTTGGGGACCGGGGCGCGGTGGCCTTACCTTGTCCGCTCGGCTGCCGGGGGGAAGCCGAAGCCGGCGGGAGGCGGGGAGGGCGTTGCTGAGATCTCCGGGGACTGCTCGGGAATGGGCGAGTGCGGCGTGGGGGGCAGCTCGGCGGGCGGGGCCGGGGGCTGCGCGGCCGGGGGGGCCGAGGTCGCCTTGCGCCCCGTGGAGGTGCCTCGGCGAGCCACCCACGAGGTGTCCATCACCCTGACGCCCATGCTGGGGACACAGAGACGGGGGTCAGCACCCACCAGGCTGGAGGGCACCGCCAGCACCCCCTCACCACTCCTTCGGGGTCCCTAAAAACGCCTCTTCCACAGGGAAACTGCTGGGAATGAAACTACAGGGCAGTAGGGCAGGGGTGGCAGCGTGGGTTGAGTTTGTGTCACCCAACAGCCACGTCTCCCTTCCCCAAGAACCAGCAGGCACCAGCACCCTCCAGCACCCTCCCAGCACCCACCCAGCACCCTCCCAGCAGCCTGCAGAGGACACGGTACCTTTGGATTTTCCTAAGGCTGCATGGGCAGAAACAAAGGATTATTAATGTGAAAACCCCCTGAACCTGCAGAGTGCACAGGGACAGAGGTCAGCGCTGGGCAAAGGAGCTGCGAGGCCAAGGGGCTTTGAGAGAGGGGCAGAGGGGCTGAGCAGGGACCAGGCTGTGCCAGCGGTGGGACAGCTTGGGATGCCTTCTGGAAATGGGGACATTTTGGGGTGGGCAGAGCTCTGGGGAGTTTTCTGGACTGTTCGAGGTCCCTGTGAGGTGTCACGGACGGGGGACATGCAAGGCTGGCAATGGGGAGCTTTCCCCTGGAGCAAATGCTGCAGACCTTGAGGATACCAGGACACCTGTGTGTGGCATGGCACAGCCCCAGTGTCACCCATGGGCCACCCCACTCCCATCTGCAGTGGGCTGGGGGCAGGCGTGGAGCCCTGAGCACCCCCAAGAGCCTGGCATGGAAAGCAGGGGGTCCCTCCCCCTGGCAGCACCCAGCTCCAGCAGCTCAGTGCCACCCAGCCCAGGCACGCTGAGCACCCTGTCCCGGTGTCACTGCCCCTCCCTGTCCCCAAGCCGGCAGTGTCCCTACCCATCCTTCTTGCAGAACTCCAGCATCATGTTGTCGGTGGCCACGCTGAGGGGCCGCCGGGCCTGCTCGTGCTGCCGGCGCTCGCCGTGCTCCATGTCCGGGGACGGCATGGAGCTGTAGTTGGCGTTGTGGTTGACGTGCAGGGGGCTGCCGTAGTTCCCCGTCACGTTGAACTCGATGTCTGGGGGCACAGAGGGTGTTGGGGGGCTGTGCCCAGGGAGGGCAGGGACTGGGGGTGTTGGCACTGCAGGTGTGCTCAGGGGTGTTGGCACTGCAGGTGTGCTCGGGGGGTGTTGGCACTGCTGGTTTGGGCTCAGTGCCGCTCTAAGTCTGGCCAGAGCCCTGCCTAAGCTCCAGCAAGCAGAGAGGGCTGCCAAAACCAAGCCTGGGAGCTCTGAGCCCCTCCCCAGGAGGTGTCCCTGGGGCCCGGGCATGCCCTACCTCCCGGGAAGAACCAGTCTGCGTGCTGGATGAGCGGCTCGATGATGCCCACGATCTGCAGCGACAGCGTCGTCATCATCTCCGTCATGTTCCTGTGAGGGGTGGCAGCTCAGCACCCCCTCAGGACAGCAGGGTCCCAGCAGGGTCCCAGCAGGGTCCCAGCAGGATTTTTGGCAGGATTCCCAGCGGGATTCCCAGCAGGGTTCCCATCATGGTTCCCAGCGGGATCTGCCCCTCACCCCGCGCTCACCCCTCGGCCTGTGGCCACAGCAGGTTGGGTCCCAGCACGATGGCCACGTTGCTCGGGGTCATTTTGTTCAGGTCCTGGTACTCGGTCAGCTTGGCCAGGAATTTAATCACGTACCTGGAAGGCAGATCCCAAAGGGGTCAGTGCAGGGCTCACCGCCTCGGTGTCCCCTCCCAGGCCCTGCTGGCCCCGGGCTCACCTGATGTTGTTGTAGTTGGCTTTGGGCAGCTTCTCACAGGCATTCCAGAGAGCCTGCAGCCGCTTCTCCTGCTCCGGGATGCTGCAGGCAGGTGCCAGAGGGGTTATCCCCCATCCCCACCCTGCCCTGACCCCACCAGCCCCACCGTGGGGACCCTGCGAGACCCCCAGGCTGCCACCACCATCATGGAAGCAAATTAAGCCCCAGAAGCTGTCCCAAGGAGAAGGGATCCCTTCTGGACCTCTCACCCCTCCATGGCTCTCGTAGCCCGGAGGAAACATCCCAGATGCTGTGAACCGTGCCAGAAAAAGCCCAAAGCACCCCTGGGGAGCCAGGCTGTCCCTGCCTGTGCCACGGAGGGGCGGGGGCATGTCCCAGACTCACTTGGAGGCCTGGATCCACTCCTCATACAGCTCGAACGTCATCAGGGGCTCGGGCAGCTCCCGCAGGTAGGACTTGAGGGCTCCTGTGGCACACAGGGGACACAGGGTTGGCACTGCAGGTGGCACCAGCTGTTGGGCACCGAGTGGTTTTGCTCCTGGACACTTGGACCCACATCCCCCCAGCCTGACCTCCAGCCCACCCCAGAGCACCCGCTGGTGTCCCTGCCTTGGGGCAGCCTGTGGCACCCCGACCCAGCGCCCACCTTGCCCCTCTCAGCACCTTCCCTCTGCATGGCAGCACCTCTCTGGGGCAGCCGCTGCCCCAGGTTGTGTCACCTCACTGAGCACCCTGCCCCATTAGCCAGGCCACTCGTTCATGACAAAATTAACCCAACAAAACCAGCCCCAGCATCAACCCCTGGGCGGCACCACTGGTTCCTGTCTCCAGCTGGACTTGGTGGCACTGATCCCCCTCAGGGTGCCCCGAGGGGCCACCCCGGCCCAAGGAGCCCCACCTGCGATGGCATGGGGGTCAGCTGAGTACTCCTGCACGTCCACCACGCAGCAGTCCAGGGCAGCCTTGAGCTTCTTCAGCTTGGAGGCCGAGGGAGCCACTCGGAAGAGACCCTGGGCAGAGAGTGTTGGACAGGGCTGGGGGCTGGGCACATCCCTGGAGCCCCCCAGTTCCTCACCCTGGCCCTGGGGACACCTGTGACAACCCAGCTCCTCCTGCACCCCCAGTTCCAGCAGGGACCCAGCTCCTCCTGCACCCTCAATTCCAGCAGGGACCCACCTCCTCCTGCACCCCCAATCCCAGCAGGGACCCACCTCCTCCTGCACCCCCAATCCCAGCAGGGACCCACCTCCTCCTGCACCCCCAATCTCAGCAGGGACCCAGCTCCTCCTGCACCCCCAATTCCAGCAGGGACCCAGCTCCTCCTGCACCCCCAATCCCAGCAGGGACCAACCTCCTACTGCACCCCCAGTTCCAGCAGGGACCCAGCTCCTCCTGCACCCCCAGTCCCAGCAGGGACCGACCTCCTCCTGCACCCCCAGTTCCAGCAGGGACCCACCTCCTCCTGCATGCCACATTCCAGCAGCATGGTGACACAGGCCTCCACGGGGAAGGCGATCTCCCTCCCGCTGACAGCCAGGTGCTCCTCCAGGGGCTTCCCAAAGGAGGGCTTCTCCATCCACGCCTCTGTGACGGGCAGAGGGGGCAGGGGAGAGGGAGGGTGGTGCCAGATCCAGCAGCCCCTCCCCAAAGGTCACAGTTTTGGCAGCACAATGCTCTGTATGGGTGTTGGTAGAACAGGACCTGCAGCTCTGGTCTTTTCCAGCCCTCACAGGATTTCAAAGGATAACATTTTCCACAGGGGTAACCACAGGCAAACTTTTGCAATATTCTTCCATCACGGTTTAAGGCAGGGATGGGATGGGATGGGATGGGATGGGATGGGATGGGATGGGATGGGATGGGATGGGATGGGATGGGATGGGATGGGATGGGATGCGATGGGATGGGATGGGATGGGATGGGATGGGATGGGATGGGATGGGATGGGATGGGATGGGATGGGATGGGGATCCCCTCCCAGCACCAGGACAGGCGGGATGCAGGCAGCACAAGCAAGGGGAGGGTGCTCAGCTGTCCCCGCGGGGTCACAGAGCCTGTCACAGCCCCCGGGTGCCACAGGCAGGGCCAGAGCTGCGGGCACTCACCCTGCTGGGCTTTGATCTGCGGCAGGAAGTTCTGCAGGAGCGCCAGGGATTTGCGGTGGTACTCGGCCTGCACCTCGATCAGCTGTGGGGACACCGGGGTCACCGCACTGCCGGGACAGGGACAGAGGGACAGCGGGGGCGGTGGCACTTACAGTTTGAAAATAGTTTGCATAGTCGACTTCTTTGGCCACGAAATTGTACATGTCAGCCGAGAGCTGGTCCTGCGGGGGCAGAGGATCTGTCACCGTCCCTGCCACCACCAGGGCCCCTCCCGAGCCAGCAGCAGGGAGCAGCCTGGTCCCAGCGATGACACAGGGTCAGGGTTGGGTGTCAGGGGAGCTCAGGAGCCTCCCCCACTGCAGCCTGAGCAGGGCCCAGCTTCCCCCAAAGGACAAAGAAGGGAGTTTGGACTCTCTTATCCCAAGGAAGGGGGTGAAAGCCCCTCTTAGTGCTTGAAAATGACAGAAACCGACCCAGCAGAGGGAAGGTGGAGCAATGTCTGTGCCAATGCCAGGGCTGGCCGTGCCTGGGCTCTGCCAGGACGGGTGCCCAGGGAATGGAGCCCCTCCGGCTCTGAGGGATGTGCAGGATGGGGACGGAGCGGCTGGGGACGCCCTGCTTGGTTGGGAGCGTCACCCAGAGGTGCTGAGCTGGGTCTGGGGCCAGCCCGGGGAGGGGCAGCAAGGCGGGGAGGAAGGTGCAGAGGGGTGAGAGGAGAGGCTGCGGCTTTCCCCCGAGCCGGGAGCCCACAGCCCCTCGGCCCCGGGAGCCGTACCCGGCAGATCTCCACTCTGTTAGCTGCCTCCTCCATCTCCTCCCTGAGAGCGTCCGCCTTGGCCCCCGAGGGCTGCAGGTTGCTGGCCAGACCCGAGGACTTCACCGACTGCTGCCACCTGAGGGGGGGACAGGGACCAACCTGAGCGGTGACCATGTCCCAGGGCCTGCAGGGCCACCAGGGCTGAGCAGCACGGGGAGATCCCAGCCCAACCACTCCCAGCCCCGCCGTCTCCACGGCTCACAGCGGGGCAGGAATCCTTTCAGCAGGATAAGGAGCCGTATCCCGGTGGGAAGAGAGAGGAAGGGGATGGGAGAGCCTGGGCATGACGCTGGGGATGTGGACACCCCTCAGACCCGTCCCGGGGCACACAGCTCAGCAGTGCCATGGGACAATGTCATCCCAGATCCCCTCGGTGCCACCGCAGGGGCAGGAGCACCGGCTCTCTGCATCACAACTCAACAAGACAGGGAAAAAGTACAAAATAACCCTTTCTGCCAGAAAAAAGACACTTTTGCTGCAGAGGGCAGGCAAGGAAACCCACCCCTGGGTTCTGCAGACAGGAGCAGAAATGGTGGCTGATCGCAGAGCTCGACTCGAGCCCACAGCCACAGCCAGGGCTCCTTGTCCCAGGGAACTGCGCTGCCAGGGCCCCGGAGCCGCTCTCCTGGGAGCCACCCATGGCTTGGGAACGTTTGTTTCTCATAAAGCACCTGGAGGCACTTCCTACCTCGTCCTGGAGGAGTCCATGTCCAGCACGAGCTTCGCCAGGTGCTTCCTCTGCTTTTGGATATTTGGGATTTCCACCTGCAGCAGCACAGGGAACAGGAGGAGGTGACACCCCCGGAGAGGTGTCCGGGGCTGGGTCACACCCAGGGGCTGGGGCTGGGGGGTGAGGATGCAGCTCCATAACAAAACATCCTCAGGGAATGGCCCAGCCCGTCCCTCCTGCGTGTCCCACCCGGAACGAGCTCCAGAACCCCGAGGAGCAGCCCCGGGGATGCAAACCCCCCGGGGGGCTGGGAGAGGGCAGGAGAAGGCAGGAAAAGGCAGGAAAAGGCAGGAAAAGGCAGGAAAAGGCAGGAAAAGGCAGGAAAAGGCAGGAAAAGGCAGGAAAAGGCAGGAAAAGGCGGGAAAAGGCGGGAAAAGGCAGGAAAAGGCAGGAAAAGGCAGGAAAAGGCGGGAAAAGGCGGGAGAAGGCAGGAAAAGGCAGGAAAAGGCAGGAAAAGGCGGGAAAAGGCGGGAAAAGGCGGGAAAAGGCGGGAAAAGGCGGGAAAAGGCGGGAGAAGGCGGGAAAAGGCGGGAGAAGGCGGGAAAAGTTGGGAAAAGGCGGGAGAAGGCGGGAAAAGGCGGGAGAAGGCAGGAAAAGGCGGGAAAAGGCGGGAAAAGGCGGGAAAAGGCGGGAGAAGGCGGGAAAAGGCGGGAGAAGGCAGGAGAAGGCAGGAAAAGGCAGGAGAAGGCAGGAAAAGGGCTCCAGGGGAGCGCAGCACAGCCCAGGCCCCGCGGCACACCTCAGCCAGCACGAAGAGCGGCTCGATCACGTCCCTCTCCACCTGCAGCTCGAAGTGGATCAGCTCCTGCGCCAGTTTGTCCTCGGCCTCCCCGCACAGCCGCAGCATCTTCCTGCTGGGACAGGCACGGCTGGGGACACAGGACCGTCCTGCACCGGGAACGGGCCCCGGGGCGCCAGGAGGGGCACGGGGCAGCCCCGCCTGGGCACAGCGCGGCAGCCGGGGCACCCTGGGCACCCGGGGGCCAGGAGAGCTCAGTCCTCCAGTATTGCACTTATAATGATATAATAGTAGGTAAAGTATCATTATGTTATATTGTATTATATTGGATTGTATTATATTATATTATGTTATATTATATTATATTATATTATGTTATATTATATTATATTATGTTATATTATATTATGTTATATTATATTATGTTATATTATATTATGTTATATTATATTATATTATATTATATTATATTATATTATATTATATATATTATATTATATTATTATATTATATTATATTATATTATATTATATTATATTATATTATATTATATTATATTATATTATATTATATTTTTATTATATTATATTATATTATATTATATATTATATTATATTATATTATATTATATTATATTATATTTATTATATTGTATTATATTATATTCCCAGTGCAATCCCAGTGCATCCCCAGCACATTCCCAGCACATTCCCAGACCACCCCAGGGCAGCCCCAGCCCCCCTTACCCCAGCAGGGAATCGTCCCCCAGCACGGCCGATCCCTCCATCAGACACTGCGCCAGCGTGGTCAGGGGCAGCTTCTTCTGCAGAGAGAGGGGCTGTGTTCCCCCTGGATCCCTGGATCCCTGGATCCCCCGGATCCCTGGATCCCAGATCCCCCAGATCCCTGGATCCTCCAGATCCCTGGATCCCGGAGCCCCCAGCCTGGCCGCCCTCACCGAGCGCTTGTCGGCGTCCAGGCCCTGCTGGCCCTGCAGACAGGCTGTCAGCTTCTTGTGGGTGCTGTGGGACACCTGCTTCACCAGCTCCAGCCTCTTCTCCACCTGCGGGAGCCATGGGGCCGTCACCGGGGATCCCAGCACCCCAGGATCCCGTAACCAGGGATCCCAGCACCTGGGATCCCATCACTGAGGATCCCATCACCTGGGATCCCAACACCAGGGATCTTTGGGACCCTGTGGCACCACCAGGGAGCTGCTGATGGGTGCAGCCCCCCCGGAGGTGCCCAGGCACCCATGGACACCCCGGGATGGCTCCGAGGGAGCCTCACCTGCAGCAGATCTTCGCTCAACACCTCGGTCTTCTCGGCTCTGCAGGACAAGAGAGGGAAGGAGCCATTGGTGAAGGATTTGGGACACGCAGCAGCACCCCCTGCACACCATGGACCCGGGATCTGCTTTTCCTTTGGGATGCAGGGGGGATTTCGGAATCTCTGCTCCCACCAGCCGTGCCTCACCTCCTAAAGCAGGAACACATGGAGCATCTCCACGGCTCATTGCCAGGTGCCACAGCAATCCAGGGCCTTCGTCCCACCTCTCCCTTATTTTCCCGTTATTCCCAGGAGAGCAGGGATGGAGATTCCCAAAGGAAGCGGCAGCCGCGGGACGTGAGGCGGAGCCGCTGCCCGGGGCCCCGCCAGTGTGGGAATCCAGGGCTTCCCTCTGGCTGCCCTGGCAGGTCTGGGACCCTGGCAGGGGTCAGGAACCCCCCTGGACAGAGCCCCCAGAGACACTGTCTGTGATCTCTGTCCATGGAAAAGAGTTTTCAATCTTACAGGATGAATTACAAGCTTTGAGTGTTTGATAAGAATAATAATTAAGTGTGACACGGGTGCAAAAGTAAAATTTTAGATTTCTAGATTAGGGGTCCAAAGGGGACAAGATGGAGGAAATTGGGTGTGTCTTGTCCTTTCCTCCTTCTTCATGCCCTCCATGTTTCACTGCAGTGTTGGCATTTTTCTGTTGGTTCAGGCTGGGGACACACTGTCCAACGTAGGTGACAGATATTGGCACGTTATTGTAAATCCAGCACAGGTAGTTTCTGGTATTTAATGTTTGTACCATCCCACTGAGGGCAGAGCCCCACACGCTGCCCTGCAGGACAGAGCTGCGGCAGGGCAGCAGAACATGTTAGAGATAAACAGAATAAACAACCTTGAAACCAGCACAGACGAATTATGGCTTCTTCTTTGGCAACGGGGCAGAAAGACAGAGACTTTCTACAATCTTGGAATCACCAATACCCACAGATTCCGACACTCAGGGGACAGCAGGAGCGTGGTGCTGTCACCCTGCAAACAGCCCCTTCATTTCCCGAGCCTGGTCCCTTCCTGCCATCCCAGCTGGATTCTCGGCTTGGAGACAGGGAGGGGAGCGCTGGAGTAGTGGAAATGAGGAGAAACACAGAGAAAGGGTCAGACAGCAGCAGGAGAGGCTCCTGCACAAA